TATCCATCAGGATTTCCCTCATCCAGTTTACTGTTTCTGATACCCTAGCAACATTTTTCTCTACATTGTCCATCCTGCTCTCCATCCTTGTACCAACCATGCCCCGCAATCGTCGAGCTCTGATACCAGTTTGATGGAAACCAGTCTCCCAGACTCACGTTTAATCACAAATAATGAAAGCAAAGCAAATATTCAACCACAAGCAATACACTAACTGGAATGAAACTGGAATAAAACTGTATTAAGGGGAAATAGATTTGTAACAGACAGAAAATGGAAATAGACCCAGCTCCTCCTATACAATTCTTTACTAATTTTCGATGCTCTATCTTACGCCACTGCTCTCTTTTTATTCTCACTCAAGATTCCCTTTCTCTTAACAAACTCTGACAATAATTGCCATTTGTTGAACCTTCATTGTGCCATTTGCTTCCTTGCCAATTGTCTTGCCATCTGTCCCGCCTTGTCATGCCTCCCCTTTCCCTTTTTGCCCTTTTTTGTTATACCACTTTGTGACCAGGTGTCCACCAATGTGACACAAATCAACAGTTCTCTTTGAATTTGTATGTAAATTGAAAGTTGAACTTCTTTGCGATTTTTCTCACTATAGTAGAGTTCTCTCTCCTTCGCTCTTTCACTCGTTCCTTTACTTTTAATATATTTTGCATTGACTATGCTATATAACAGCCCCTTTTTGGGCCTTTCACATGATGCCTGCTTACAGTAAAGATGGTGGAAATTAGGTAGTTAAACTTTTGGAGAGAGCACATGAAGTTCTACTGGATGTTTCAGAGGGAAAACTAATTTTTTAGGAAATATATTAGCTTAGAGCTTGAGGAGAGAATGTTGAGAGTTTCAGTAATTAGGAGAAACAAAGAGAAAATCCTTGAGAATCGTAGAGCGAAGAGAGAAGATTTTGGGAAGAAAGGGGGAGAAAATGCTAGACAATGAATTTAACTTGTGTGAAGAGACATAAATACATCTTTTTTATATATTTGATTTTCTTGATTAATCAAGTCTATATATTTATTTTGATAATTTTGTCAAGTATTAGCTTCCTTGTGCAAACGACTTGCAAGCTGCGCTCTTGTGAGTTACTTGCTTTAAATTAAAGCACTTTAAGATTAAATACAGTTACAATTGTTTTAGTATTTCATAAAATTTGCAATCTGACAAAGTTTGAAGATCCTTTACATTTAAGTTTAATAGATTGTACAATAATATTCAAAGGGGCTGTTGCCAATGACGATAATTTAGAACACATCACCAAATTCTCAGCATAGGTCATAACTATTGTAGGAAACACATGCTAGTTTCTTGTTGGAAATTACCTTGCCGGGCACCATGATTGTCACTGTGAATCTCTACCAAACCATATATTTTCCAAATCATCAATTCTGCTCTTCCGTCCATGGTCCAGTTGAAAGAGCTATTTGTCTTAGATTAGTCTTTTAGCACTATTGGAGAACATTTACCCTCTTTGGAAGGCTACGTCATGAAGGTATTTGTTCAGGAAAACAACCAATCTCCATATTCCATATGAGTGCCCTACAGAATGAAGTGACAGTCCACACACAGATACATAGGATGAGGATAAGAATATCACATTTGTGAAACCCTAAGGGTCTGCTTGGGAGTTTTTCTTCCTTTGGTTTTGAGGGATTTTTAATTAGACTGGTTTTGAGGTGTTCTAAAACCATCACGTGTCAGATTTTTTATACATTGATTTTGACTAGCTCAACAAACCCCCTAGAACCAGTGTAATGTATTTTTTAGGGGCTTATAAAACACGTCAAATCGAAGTGTTTTGATTGGTTTTAAAATTTTATGCCACAAATATCCTATCTACTACAAAACTATCCAAAAGAAAAAAAAAAAAATTAACCATATTATGCATGTCTCCAATCATATTAAATATAAACTAATTTTAACCAATCATAAAAAAAATAAAAAATTATTAAAATCTTATTTCTAGATGCTTTCTTGGAGAAATGGAACTACAATTTTTCAATCATTCTAAATACTGCAAAGAATGATGAAGAAGGATAAGAAGACTATCACATTTGAAGTTATAAAATACTAATAAGTATTACCTTGTAATCGAAAAGACAAAACTCCTAAGTACTGGTTGAAGTTAGCGTTTTTTTATGGGTATATATATAAATTTATCATTTTAAAGAACTATCAGAATCGCTGGAAAATATCAAGCACAGGTTGAGTGTTTTAAAAACCGCTAATAAAAACCTCTCAAAATCGCTACGGTGGTTTACCCTCATAACTACCACCGTGAAACTCCCAAGGATAGACCCTTGGGATTTTTTATCCCACCCCAAACCTAACTCCATTGTTTGCCAAGATAAATCTGAATGTTCTATTGGTCAGACTTAAATATAGAAATTTATACAAATTCCAGTAGAGTATCCCCTGTATTATGGACAAAGTCTCCTACAAGAAAACATGAAATACACTTCTATAGCCTCAATTTCCTTCACCTATTTCATCATCACACAATCAATTGATCTCGCCTATCATTTATTCATTTCAACATATGGTATAACCTCATCCAACGGTAAGTCACAAAAGCCGTTCCTCTGCACTTCATGTTTAAATATAGACAAAACCATGTAACCTGGTGTCTAATTTTTAAGGTTATACATGGTTCAAATCATTTCTAAGTGCAATCATGTACATGCAAAATATGAATTGAGAATACTTGACAAAATATTAAATAAGTGTGTTGGTGTGGCCCTTTTCACAGTAGATAACCAAGGAGGACAAATAACCCAACTATGACAATAAGTGTGAGATCTAGTCCCACAACTGGTGATGCTCTGATGGAGGGTGGTTTGTCTGATGGTGATGCTGACCTATATGGGTGGAAATCAAATAAAATCTTTAAATTGCACGTATATCTATGAACCATGCCTTACTGGACAAATTCCAATTCTAAGTAATTTAAACTTTAACTAATATTACAGTTTTGTTCGTTTAAAACGCGATTATAGAGCACTTAACATCATTACTACTACTCGTTACATAATCACTGCAAAAGATTCAACTACTATAGAATTTCATATCCATTAGAAATTATTGTATAATCGAGAATTTGAATACATGAAGGAAAACTAATAACTAATACATTTCCTAACAAATAAAATAGCCCATTTACTCTACCTCCTACTAAGGTAAATTTAAGACAACCTTACATTATAAAAGTTGTATTTGTTTCTAAAATAACACACCATGATAATTAATAGAAGTTGTAGTATCAAATTTGAGAGTTAGAAAATCTCCCAAGCTTAATGGTCTCAAATGGTAAAATCTTGATTGGGGGCTATTAAAAGTTGGAGTGAGGTTTTACTTTTGATGAACAATGGGACAGGAAGCAAATTTAGGTGGTGTTCGGCCGTAAAATCATAAAAATTTGGTCGGAAATGGAAGAAAAATGTGCTGAATTTAGCGGCTTGATCTGCACATTTTAGAAGGAATCCTGGAACGAGTGTTGGCTAGGTAGATAGAGCACGAAGAGAGCTATGAAACGGTATATAGCTCAACCGGTAACTCGCGGAAATTTGGCTGGAATTGTTGGTCAAAGTTCGTTGACCGACAGTCAAGGGAAGACTGTTACCTTCTCCCCCAAAAATTTAACTGTTGCTTATATGTCCACTCAGCCGCATTGAATTATAGAATTGCCCGTAGTACTTAAAATTGAATGTCCTTTGTTTTAGTTCTGATTTGTGGCGAAATTTTTCTCATTACAAACTGTTTATAACAAGACTAACTTAAGAATAAAACTTAGACAAAAATTTAAGAAAAATAGCAATACACTCATATATCTATATACTAAAGAAATAAGGATAAATAGAATAAAAGTAAAATATATTTACCATACAAGCTTATTAGTTAGACCACCATTAGTATATGAGAAATGAGTTTTGGGTGTTGTAATTCTACCCCTTTTAGAGGAATTTCATCCACAAAACTGACATACCTATCATTGAAGAGTTGTGGATATTGTGCTTGCATAAGATATTCACACTTCCAAGTAGCTTCTTCTATAGAATGGTTCCGACACAAGACCTTGACCAAAGGAATGGTCTTAAATCGCAAGACTTGTTCCTTACGATCCAAGATTCTTAGTGATTGCTCTTCATATGACAAATCCTTTCTCATTTGCACTAAATGTTGAGCAATAATATGAGATGGATTGGTGAGTCTTCCTTTGACCATCGGTCAACAAACTTTAACGAGTGATTTTGGTCAAATTTCAATGAGTTATCGGCTGAGCTATATACTGTTTCAAAGCCAATTGCATATTAGATATTTTGTCATATATTATTCTCAATTCATATTTTGCACGTACCTAATTGCATTTAATAATGTTTTGAACATGTATTATCTTAAGAATTAGACACCAAGTTATATGGTTTTATGTATTTATTTAAACATGGTGTGTGGAGAAACTTAGGAGACTTTTGTGACTTACCTTTGGATGAGGTAATACTTTGTGTTGAAATGAATGAATGATGGGTGGGATCAATTGGTTGTGTGATGATGAATTGGGTGAAGGAAATGGAGCCTATAGAAGTGTATTTCACGTTTTCTTGCAGGAGGCTTTGTCCCTAAAACAAGAGATACTCTCTGGAATTTTGTAGATATTTCTATATTTTAGTTTGACCAATAGAACATTAAGATTTATCTTAGCAAGCAATAGAGTTAGGTTTGAGGTGTGACATTTTGGTTGTTTACTTAAGCATATTTGGTAGGCCAGATAAGGAGAATGGTAGAATAAGCTCATTGGTTCTGTGTTTTTAGCTCAATTCTTCATCAAGAGGTGGGCTGCTCAATATCAGGTTTTGGGTTGAGCTGCCAAAGTAACATGGATAGAGGCTTTTTCTAAGTTTAAATTACTGAAGTATCTTTAGGTACATTGATTAATGAATGGATCAAATTCATTTTGAATTCCTTTGTCCACCTGCTGTACCTAGCATTCCTTCTGTTATGTCCAATAAATTTTGGCTTCATTATGGCTCAAATTTTGTTGTTTCAGGTGGTTTATAGTGATGTTTACATGCTTGATGATGAGATGAAGTGGAAAGTCTTGCCTCCTATGCCGAAGCCAGATTCACATATTGAGTTTGCTTGGGTGCTTGTCAACAACTCTATTGTCATTGTTGGAGGCACCACAGAGAAGCATCCTGTAACCAAAAAGATGGTTTTGGTTGGGGAAGTTTTTCAGTTCAACTTAAATACACTGGTATGAACCTTTTTTACTTTATTCGCTTGATTTCATGCATGTGCACACTTTTTTTTGTAGTTTCTGCTATTAAGAGAATATTGCTAGCTACTTAATTGGCTTCAGCTGCCTATACTCACTTCAGTTGTTATAAAACATACATAAAGCTCAAAGCCCAGTTGAACATAGTGCTTCTTCCTACCTAGGCAGACTGTAGCTTTGAAACTTGCAAGTCAAATCAAGGACTATTATTTTGTTTTATTGGATAAAAATATATTATCTTTTTAAATGGATAAAAATATCTATATGATTCAAAAAGATAACTATTACTTAACTAGACTTGAAATTTCCGGGTGTTACACGAAGCACATGTATTATGCGGCCTAGACCCAAAAGAGCACTTTTTTTGAAGTGCAAAGCAGCTGGAAATGCTTTTAAATTATCAGGATTGAAAAGAATGTTGCAGTACTTCTTAATGAGGATTAGCATTTAAAGGGAATATAACCCTTCATTAAAGACAGTTTTCTTGTTTGGATTATCTTACAAAATGGGGAGGATGATGGCATTTGCTGTTTTATAAGGATGCTTTTGAAAGTCCTCTATGATTTCCTTGACCATTCTGTTGGGCTTGGAAGTTCCTTTAAATTTGTCGCATGACATCAAAATTAGTTAGAATCATTTAGGGTGCATTTATTAGTATTTTTTTTTTTTTTTAATTTGTTATTAAAAAATGAGTTTGGGAAATGAAAACGGGAAAGTGGATTTGGTACAGATCTAAGAATGTGTTCATACTAATTTTGAGGAAATTATTTTGAAAATGAAAATAGTGAAAATGCATCTTGGTAAAATTAGCTCTACATCTTTTTTCTTTCTCCTTTTCTCCACACTGAAATATATTATGAAAAGAGGAACCTAGAAGAAGTTATCAAACATGGCTGTTTAGACAACTAAAAGGTCATTGCATGTTGACTGTTTGTCTTGTGTGTATGAAGTGAAAAATTGTTGCAAGTGCCATTGTAATTGTTGCTTGCTCTTATGCTTTGTTGTGGATGGTAATAAGATCATTGAGATTGGCGATCTTATTGGCATCATAGTTTATAAACTTCCTCAAACAATCAATTTTCAAGAAAATCCTCTTTACATTGAGGTTGTTTCTTGTGAAGCCATGGATTGATTTTATTCAAGTATCATTGATTTCTGTCTTGGGTTATATTATATTTGTAAATTGTTGATGTTCGGAGAAGTGTTATGTTGATTCATTCTGATTTTAACATTGACAGAAGTGGTCATTGATTGGAAAACTTCCTTACCGTGTGAAAACCACGCTAGCCGGATTCTGGAACGGATGGTTGTACTTCACATCAGGGCAGATGGACAAAGGACCAACTGATCCAGCACCAAGGAAAGTTCTTGGAGAGATGTGGAGAACCAAATTGAAATTGAACTTATGATCAGATTCTTGTTGATTCTTTTTCTTGGGATATTTTTCCCGCCATAGTTAACCAACAGAGTGAAAACATTTATTTTGCTGTCATTCTTTTTTTACTTTCTATAGGCAAGTCATCAATATTTTTTTTTCTTCCCTAGAGAGTGAAATTAGAGAGGGAATAGAAGATTTCTTATGTATTGAGAAAAGAAAGAAACCTTGTATTCATTTATGTGTATATCAATACTTGATTAAAAAACAAATGTATTTAAATTCTAATTAAACAACTTAGTTGATCAAATTCAAGGTTATCCTGTCACAATTCTATCCTATAAGCTATATGAATATCTTATTCTATGTCCTATAACATCTATATTGATTAATTATGTAATTTTTGAGAAGTTTGCTTCGAGCAAAGCTTCATTGTGCCAATTGTCTATGGAGTTTAAGCTCTCGATTCAGGTTTTGTGCTATTTGCTGTCGAATTGATGACGTATAGTTGGCAAAAAAAAAAAAAAAAAAAAAAAAAAAAATATCCAAACTGCCATTGTTGAAAAACTATATTTTTATTTTCATATATAATATACATAGTAATATTGATTAGATATTAACATGCTGAATTTTTTTAGTGAAGAACATCATGAGTTTGTACTAATATAAGGTATTTGCGCTATATAATACTAGAATGACATAAGTATTAACAAATTAGTAACTTTTAATGGAGGATTTGAGGATTGAGGATGTTGGCAAGGAGGTTGATTGTGTGCTTGGAACATGTAGAAGGCGTAATGCAACGCGTTATATGGAGATTAGGTCCATGGAGAAGGAAAAGAAGACAGGGAAGGGGTGAAATGTGGTGGGGTTGATTTTGATGATGTGGTTAGGGAGTGATAGAGCCTCCTATCAAATTGAACCCAAAACCAACCACAATACACAAAAGAGCAACAAGCAAGAGAACACACAATCTGATATGAGCTCTATTAGTATTAATAAATGGATTGAAATAACAATTGAAGAATAATAACACTCAACAGATAGATTACTAGCAGTTCGAGGAGCTGGGGAGCCTCTCTTAATGACCTATGAAGAATTTCCTTGATAATCACTCACACTCTCTCTTTACTATATACTAATTACCCTTTACTAATTGACACTAAATCCATCCTCTAAATATCAGTCACGTGTATATTCTTTTTAACAAACTCATCTCACACTTTCCACACTCACTACCTTTTTCACACTCACTACCCTTAATGCCTATTCTTGCCTTTCAACTTATAGACCTTGTAGGTGGTCTATCCCCCTTAAGAGCGACCTTGTTCTCAAGGTGGAAGTGAGGAAATTGGGTGTTGATGACCTCAAAAGGTTCCCACGTACCATCAAAGGAGGATAAATCTTGCCAATGGATGAAGACCTCCTTGGAACCATCTAGAAGGGTCTACACAACTAGGACCTTGACTTGTTGAACCTGGAGTTCCAGGTCTTCCGTGAGAAAGGATGACAGAGGTTGAATGGGTACTGAACTATGCAGGTTGCTCTTCAACTGAGATACGTGAAAGACGGGATGAATACGGGTTGTGAGGGGTAGTTCCAGCTTGTAGGCCACCTAATCGATTTTCTCCAGCACCAGAAAAGGCCCATAAACCTTGGGCTAAGTTTTTCATTCAACTTCTTGGCCAGGGACTTAAATTTGTAGGGTTAGAGCTTAAGGTACACATGATCACCTGAAGAAAATTGGATATCCTGTCAGTGGTGGTCTGCATGTTGTTTCATATGGACTTGTGCAATTTCTAGGTTGTCTTTGAGTTCCTGGATGATGGCATTGCGTTCAATAATATGGTGGTTCACATCTTCCATCGAAGAAGGGTAATCGGTGAGCTTAAGGAGGATTGGTATAAAGCCTTGAAGGGTGTCATCTTGGTCGAATGATGATAGGTCGTGTTGTACCAAAACTCAGCTCAAGACAACTAATTTGGCCAATGATGGGGCTATGAACTACTTCAAAAACAGCGTAGATATGCCTCAAGCATCTATTCACCACTTCGGATTGGCCATCATTTGGGGGTGGTATGCGGAACTTAATTTCAAAGCTATCCTGGAAACTTGAATTTTTCTTGCAAAATTGTTTATAAAAAGTCTGTCTCTGTTAGAAATTATGACTTGGGGAAGCCATGAAGCTTCACAATCTCCTCTAAAAACTAAGGCCTGAGTGTAGGGTGGATAAGAGAAGGAAATGGCTGTACTTGGTGATTCTATCCACCACCACCAAAATGCCATCGAACCCTTGAACCTTGGAAGGCCTCCAATGAATTCCATCTCAAATCATCGAACCCTTGAGACAGAATGGGTAGAGGTTGAAGCAACCCCGTGGTTTTAGAGCTGAATGCTTGTTGACTTGGCATGTGATACAAGTTTTCACAAAATTATGAATATTATCTTAATGCCTAACCAATAAGCCACGTTTGCCACCCTTTTGTACTTTCGAAAGAATATGGAATGACCCCTTATTGGCTAGAATGAAACTCAGTCATAACTGTAATAAACCGTGAACCCTTAGGTAAAACTAACCTGCCCTTGTACATAAACAATCATAGTAGAGCTTGTAATTGGGTCGACTGTTTGGATCCACAATCAAGTCCTGGATAATGTGTTGAACTTGGGATTTTGTTGAGTCATAGGCCAATCCTCATATTCTACAAACTAGATTACGATAGAGAATTCAGTGTGGTTCCTCCTCCTTTTGGATAAGGCGTCACCACCTTATTGGTGGCTCCTGCCAATAATGATGTCAAACGAAAAACCCTAGCTTGGCACCCATTTTTACTACTCTGGGTTTTAATCTACTGATCCTTGAGGAATTATAGACTTCTCTTATTAGTTTTGATGATGATTTCTTACCCACAAGTAAGGACTCCATTTTTGCACCGTGAAGATGATGGCCATTAACTCCCTTTCATAAACTGATTTTTGTTTAGCTTCGGGTGAAAATGCCTTCCTCAAGTAAGCTATGGCATGATTGTCGGACTAAAACTGCCCCTATGCCTTAGCCCGAAGCATCTGTTTGCACCACAAAAGGAATCGAATTAGGGCTGCAATACCGGGACAAATGTCTATCCCTCCTTAAGCTTTTCAAAGGCCTGTTGTGCTTCCCCACTCCAACTAGGAGTCTTTCTTGAGTAACATGTGAGTGGTTGGGCTACACTCCCATACCCTTTAACAAACCTTGGTAATACCTGTAAGACCCAAAAATCCACTAAGCTCTTCACACTTGTTGGAATTGGCCAGAAAACATAGCTGCAATTTTTTGGGGATCGGCCTCTACACCCTTTAGCCGAGATTAAGTGGCTTAAGTACTCTACTTTTTGCTACCCAAATAAACATTTTCTTATTCGCTACCAAGTTATTCTCTTCCAAAATCTGAAGGGCTTGTTTGAGGTGTGTTAAGTGGGATTCCAAATTAGGGCTATAGAGAGAATATCATCGAAAAAAACCAACACAAATTTCCATGAGTGGCTTAAAGATGGTGTTCATCAGTGGCTAAATGTGGAAAGGGCATTGGTCAAACCAAAAGGCATGACGAGGAACTCATAAAGCCCTTCATGAGTCTAAATGTTGTTTTAGGATGTCTCCTCCTTTACTCTAATTTGGTGGTATCCCAACCTAAGATCCAACTTAGAGAAAATTGTTATCCTCGCTAATATATCCAACAACTCTCTGATGGTGGGGATGGGAAATTTGCCAAGGATGGTTTTCGTTGAGGACCTTATAGTCTACACAGAACCTCCACTTTCGTCTTTTTTCTTGACTAACACACTAGGCTAGCAAACGGGCTGTACTAGGCTGATGATTCTTGCCTGCTAACATTTCTTCCACCAATTTTTCAATTTCATTTTTCTGGAAAAGGGGTACCATAGGGTCTAATGTTGGGGGGTTGTGCTCCCTCTTAAGAGCTACGGCATGGTCTTGAGAACGTTTTGGGGTAGTTTAAGGGCTATCGAATAAGTGGGTATACTTGTCCAAAACTCCTGTAACTCTAGGATCTATATCTTCACCTGTTGGTATTGTCCTCCCTCTATCTCACAACATTCACCAAGTATTCTCCTCCTGTGTTATTAATTGACTGTAACATGGATTTAAGGGGGACCACTGTCTTCACCAAATAGGGATCTCCCTATGGCTAACTCTGCACCATCAACCTTAAACTTCATTGTCAACTTCTTCCATGGCACACACATCACCTAATGAACTCAGCCATGTAACAACCAACACAACATAAGTACCTCCTAACTCAAAAGGGAAAAAATCACACAATTTTAACCCCTGTACCTCAATCGAACCCTTTTACATACTCCTTCACCCTTCACCGTGACCCCTTGCCAACCATTACCTCAAACAACTTCCATTTTTCAACCAGAATTCCCAACCTTACACCAAATCCTATGAAATAAATTATGGGAAGCCCCACTGTCAATTAGCCCCACCAGGTCATGTTCCCAATTTACCCCCTAACCTTTAAGGTTTTATCATAATTTATACCCACAATAGAATTCATAGATAGAGCCAAAGCATTACCTTCCGGGTTGGGTATCTCGTCGCCGTCAGGAGTGGGTTCACCTTTCTTAGAATCGTCATCTTCCCACACCAAAAGAATCTGTAAGGACTGCTCTTACAACAGTGATTTGGGCCGAACTTTTCATCACATCTAAAACAAAGCCCCATTTCCCTCTTATACTGGATATTAGCCTCCGAAAGACACCAGAAATTCTCTCCTCTAAAGCTCGAAGCCCCCATCTACAACATTCTCTCTCTTCTGTCCGTGGTCAAGCCGACGTAAATGGAATGATTCTGTTTTTGATGAATTAGGCCACCAAACGGTTCGGGTTAATCTAGGTAATAGATACTTTACAATAAGGCTTTCTTACCCCTTGGGCTTTAATGAACTTGGGCCTGCATTTTTCTAAAACCCAATTATTTTCATCTACCCTATGGCCTGCTCAATAACTTCCTAAAGTGAATGGGCCTAATCAAACGTAATTCAGCCCTAATCTCCTCCTTAAGCCCATTGACAAGACACCCATTAACATTTCCTCACCCAACTCTTTTAATGGCGCCGTATGAGCTTCAATTCTTTCCTGTACTCAGTCACCGTTGACGTCTGTTTTAGCGCCACCAGAGCCTCATGCGCAAAGCCTTGGAATGACGGTCGGAATCTGGAAATTAGAGCTGCCTTAAAATCCTTCCACGACCTGAATGGTTCTTATGATTCTACCCATCGGTACCAATTCAATGCTCTTCCTTCCATGACA